GAAGCCGTCTTAGGTTTCCTGAGAGGCCTTTTGGGTATCCTGAGAGGCCTCTTGGGTATCCTGGGAGGCTCCTTGGGCCTCCTGAGAGGCCTCATGGGCCTCTCGAGAGGCCTCTTGGGCCTTCTGAGAGATCTCTTGGGCCTTCTGGAAGGCCTCTTGGGCCTCCTGAGAGGCCTATTGGGCCTCCTGGGAGGCCTTTGGGGCTTCCTGGGGGGCCTATTAGGCATCCGGGGAGGCCTGATGGGCCTCATGGGAGGCCTCTTTGGCTTCCTGAAGCCTCTTTGGGCCTTCTGGGAAGCGCCTTGGGCTTCCTGCGAGGCCTCTTGGGCCTCCTGAGACGCCTCTGGGGCCTCCTCAGAGGCCTCTCGGGCCTCCTGAGAGGCCTCTTGGGGCTCCCGGGGGGCCTCCTGGGAGGCCTCTTGGGCCTCGTGGGAGGCCCCTTGGGCCTTCTGGAAGGCTTCTTGGGCCTCCTGAGAGACATCTTGGGCCTCCTGAGACGCCTCTGGGGCTTCCTGAAAAGCCTCTTGGGCTTCCTGAGAGGCCTCTTGGGCCTCCTGGGAGGCCTCTTGGGCCTCCTGGGGGGCCTCGTTGGCGTCCCGAGAGGCCCCTTGGGCATCCGGAAAGCCTCTTTGGCCTCCTGAGAAGCCTGTTGGGCCTCCTGAGAGGCCTCTGGGGCCTCCTGAGAGGCCTCTGGGGCGTCCTCAGAGGCCTCTTGGGCCTCCTGTGAGGTTTCTTAAGCCTCCCGACAGGCCCCTCGGGCATCCGGACAGGTCTCTTTGGCCTCCTGAGAGGCCTCTTGGGCCTTCCGAGAGGCCTCTGGGGCCTCCTGAGAGGCCTCTAGGGCTTCCTGACAGGCCTCTAGGGCCTCCTGGGAAGCCTCCTGGGAGGCTTGACGACGAAGGCGTGATACATACACCATACAACATCATTCATCATACAACATGATACATAGATCATACATCACCATGCACCATACAACATTATACATGCAGCATGCATCATCAGACATCGTACAATTTTATACATACACCCTACCATCATTCACCATACAACATTATACATACACCATACACCATCATGCGTCGTACAACATTGTACATACACCATGCATGATCAACCATCATACATCATCAAACATCGTACACCATCAAACATCATACGCCATCAAACATCATATCGCATCAAACATCCTACATCATACAACAACACACATCATCAAACATCATACATCATACATCATAATACACCATCAAACACCATACATCGTAATGCACCGTCATACATTATCGTACACCACACATCATACATCATAAAACATCATACACACATCAAACATCATCAACCATCAAACACCAAACATCATACATCATCAAACATCAAACATCAACAAACATCAAACATCAAACGACAACAACCATCAAACATCAAATATCAAGCATCAGCCAACATCCTTTAACATAAAACATCAAACACCAAACATCCGACATCATTCAACATCAAACATCAAACATCCAACATCATACACCATCGATCACCATACATCTAAAATAATCAAACGCCACACATCAGTCATCATACAGCTTCATACATCACCATACATCATCATACCTCAGCATACATCAGTATACACCATCATGCCCCATCATACTTCACATACATAATCATACATGATCATACATCATCGTACATCATCGTACAACATCATACATCATCATACATCATCGTACAACACCATACATCATCATACATCATCGCACAACATCATAAATCATCATACATCATCGTACACCATCATACATTAGCATACATCATCGTACAACATCATACATCATCTCACATCATCATACATCATCATACATCATCATACATCATCATACATCATACATGAAACACCCACACCCCACCTACACCAACACCCACACCCACACCCACACCCACACCCACACCCACAATCTTCTTTTTGTTTGTTGAAGCCGTTGGAAACGCGAAACTTCCATCACCACCCTTCAGTCGTTTCACGGACGAAATGCCCGGCCACCATCCCCCGGTGAGCCCTAGTAGTAGTAGTAGTCGCAGTAGTAGTAGTAGTAGTAGTAGTAGTAGTAGTAGTAGTAGTAGTAGTAGTAGTAGTAGTAGTAGTAGTAGTAGTAGTAGTAGTAGTAGTAGTAGTAGTAGTAGTAGTAGTAGTAGTAGTAGTAGTAGTAGTAGTAGTAGTAGTAGTAGTAGTAGTAGTAGTAGTAGTAGTAGTAGTAGTAGTAGTAGTAGTAGTAGTAGTAGTAGTAGTAGTAGTAGTAGTAGTAGTAGTAGTAGTAGTATGTAGTAGTAGTAGTAGTAGTAGTAGTAGTAGTAGTAGTAGTAGTAGTAGTAGTAGTAGTAGTAGTAGTAGTAGTAGTAGTAGTAGTAGTAGTAGTAGTAGTAGTAGTAGTAGTAGTAGTAGTAGTAGTAGTAGTAGTAGTAGTAGTAAATAATAGTAGTAGTAGTAGTAGTAGTAGTAGGTGAATAGTAATAGTCCTACTTGCAGTAGCAGTAGTAGTAGTAGCAGCAGTAGTAGTAGTAGTTGAGCAGTAGTAGCAGCAGCAGTAGCAGTAGCAGTAGCAGTAGCAGCAGCAGTAGTAGTAGTAGCAGCAGCAGCAGTAGTAGCAGTAGTAGCAGTAGTAGTAGTAGTAGTAGTAGTAGTAGTAGTAGTAGTAGTAGTATAGTGAGTGTTATGTTGGTAATAGTGTTAGTAGCCGCAGTAGTATTAGTAATAGTATTTATAGTGTGAATAACATTATCATTATTATTGATATTGAAGTTATGTGTATTGATATTCGTATGATCAGTATCATTCGCATTATCAATCGTATTATTAACCATAATAATATCATTAATAATATTGTTACTAGTATTGTGAAGAACAAACCATATTAACGGTATGATTAGTACTCGTATTAGTAGTAGTAGTCGTGTTATTAGTATTAGTGTGATTGTTTTTAGTACGGTTGATAGTATGAGTATTATTTGCATCATGAGTATCAGTGTTATGATCGCTTGAAGTATTATCATTACAATTCATAGTATTCTGGATCGTTGTATCAGTAATAGCGTTACTCATATTATTATTCTAATGTTTGTATTACTGTCAGTCGTGTTACTAGTATGATATTTGTTCGTACTGTTTAGGCGTATGGTTCGTCTGATCAATCTTCTTCGTATGGTTAGTAGTATCAATATTAGTATGCGTATTATTATTATTCGCATGTGTATTATTATGTTTCTTCCTAATAGTATTCGTGTCATTTTTTAGTATCTAAAGTATTATTCTTATGATTGTTCTTATTAATATTATTATGATTCCTCCTCCTCCTCCGCTTCCTCCTCCTTCTCCTCCTCCTCCTCGGCGACTCGGCGGAGCTGCGCCAGAGTTCTCCACCAAAGTCACCTCTCGTCGCGCCCTCGCGCCCCGCGATGCGCGAGGCGCCCGGTGCACTTTGCGCCCGCGCGCTTTCGCGACGCGCCTCCTGGAGAGGGGCAGCTCTCCGGTCCAGACCGCGACGAGCGCAGCGCGATTCTCTCCGCGCCCCCGCGGGTGACCGATCCAAGAGCGAAGAACGTGTGCAGAGCCACGCCCTCGCGGTCGGGACTCTGGGGCGCAATCCCCCGCGGAGACGCGGCCGCACGGGTGCGTTCTGCGCCGTCGCGGCCCAAGGGCCCGGCCTGGCCGCGACCCTGCGGGTACGGACATGCTTTCGCAACGAGGAGCTTCGCCAGAGGTCTCTCGCAGTCCTCTGCGTCCGAGAGACGCCTCCTGGCCCCATACAATCCAGCCCGTGTGCGGTCTTCGCGAACACTTGAGGACAATTACGAAGGCGTTGAGCCAGACGAGGCAGAATTAAGCCAGGGAGCAAGCCGGATCAAGCAAGACTGAGCGGGATAAAGCTGGGTTGAATGGGCTTATGCCAGATTAGGCCTATTTGTGCCCACGGATATACCAGCGGCGATGCTGAATTTAACCGCCAGGGGACGACGGCATGCGGCGAAAGGCGGGCCTCGGATGGAGTAGAGAGCTCCTGGGCTCACGGACTGGAAGAAACACTCTGGCAGAGGTCTGGGTACCGTTCCCCTGTTGCTTTCCATCCTCTCCTCACTCCCCACATCCCTGGTTTCCTCGATACCTGCCGCTCTCCCCCATCTACCCTGCCCCGATTCATCTGCATCCCGCTCTTCATCCCCTGCTCGTTCTATCCGTTTCCACTCTCCCAGCGCAATGCACTAGGGCGCTAGACGATCCTGAAAGGTATCACATGTGGAAAAGGTCACGGGGCAGATCATCAGGCGAGAGACAGAAGACACATACCGCATACGAGATCAACGGGACCTCCAATCGCAATAGCATCAGCCCTGAAATCCAGAATGGGTCGCTGGAAATAACGGCCAATGACAAATTGCGGATACGAGGTAAATCCATCGCGCCATCATACATTTCAACGCGCCAGGCCATCGCTGAGCAGGACGCGTTCAATATACCCCCGTCACTGAGTATTAACAGAGTTGCATGCTTCACAAATTTCGAACACCATGACAGCTGATCATCTACGAGGAAGCTCGCTTAATGGGTCACGGGCGCTTGGGTTGAAAGCGAAACAAGGGCCGAAACTTGCGGACCGCTCCCCCTCCTCCTCCACCTCCTCGCTCCTCCTCGCTCCTCCTCGCTCCTCCTCGCTCCTCCTCGCTAATCCTCGCCCGCCCGCCTCGCTCCTCCTCCTCGCTCCTCCTCGCTACTTCTCGCTCCTCCTCGCTCCTCCTCGCTCTTCCCCCCCCCCTCCTCCTCCTCTCCTCCTCCTCCTCCTCCTCCTCCTCCCTCCTCCTCCTCCTCCTCCTCCTCCTCCTCCTTCCTCCTCCTCCTCCTCCTCCTCCTCCTCTCCTCCTCCTCCTCCGCCTCCTCCTCCTCCTCCTCCTCCTCCTCGCCACTCCTCGCTCCCTCCTCGCTCCTCGCCGCTCCTGGCCCTTCCCCCCCCCGCCATCTCCCTCGCCGCCTCCCTCGCCACCTCCCTTCCGTGGGCTCCGCCGCAGCCCCCGCCCGCGGCCTCCGCGCCCAGGGCGCCCCCCTCCGCGCACGCAGGGGCGGCCGCCGGCGCTGGCTCGGGGAGGACCTCCCAGTGGGGGTGCCCCAGGGGGACCTCCTCCTCCTCCTCCTCCTCCTCCTCCTCCTCCTCCTCCTCCGCCTCCTCCGCCTCCTCCTCCGCCTCCTCCGCCTCCTCCGCCTCCTCCGCCTCCTCCAGGAAGAGATCGGCACAAATCCCAGCGTTCCCCACATTGCTCCAGAGGTGTCCTGGATGTTCCCATGCCCCTCCATCCCACACCGTTTGCCCCCACTGTCACGAAGCGATCGGCACCAGCCCCCGGGTTCCCACCGTGTTTTCCCGCAGCTCCCAAGGATCCTACCAAATCCCCAGGGTCCCACACTTCGACAATTGTATCCCCACAGTTCCCAGGATCCCAGGAGGCCGAAGCAGACCAATGGGGCCGAAACGGGCCCGAGCCGAAACGGGCCGAAGACGAAAGTGGTCTCTTCCCAGGGTGGCACGACTAGATCGACAAAAATCCCAGGGTGCCCCATACTTTTCAATATTTCCTGGACTTTCGTATTCCCCTCTGATTTACCATATTTTCCCATAATTGCGTTAGCCAGCGTGGACCCCAAACTGTGTGTGGTCTAGCAATATATGTTGGTAAGTCACTTGTGTCATATATGTGGTGCAATATATGTGGTGCAATCTACGTGGTGCAATGCATGATTTGCAGCAATCTATGTTGTGCAACCGATGTTGTGCAATAGATGCTGCGCATTATCCGCCACCGTGCCTCTGGGCACTCTCCCGGGGCTTCCCGCGGGCCCCCATGGGGTTCCCCGCGTGGCCCCTGGGCTCCGGGAAGCGTTCTCGCATGACTTCCAAGGCCAAGAGATCCCCAAGACGGACCAAGAGGGCCCCAAGCAGCCTCCAAGACGGCCCAACAGGGCCCCGAGACGTCGAAAGATCGGCCGAAGACGCCCGATATGGCCTCACAACGGCCCAATTTCCCCCCATGACGCCCCACGAAGCCTCCAAGAGGCCTCCCAAGAAGGCCCCCAGAGGCCAAAATCAGTTACTTTCCTTAAGTTTTTGAAGGATTTGGGCGTTCTCGCCTTTTCGGCTTTCCGACGCTCCAAGACGGCCCAAGAGGCTCCCACCCCGAAACATCCCAAGAGACCTTCAAGAGGCCCCAGGACGGCCCAAAAGCGCCCAGGAACGGCCCAAAAAACGCCCAGGACGGCCCAAACGGGTCCCAAGACGGCCCGGAAAAGAGCGCAACTGAGGGAACACAAACCGAAAATCCGATCCGAACCTTCCGCCCCAAGAAACCGCCTGGAGGCCCCAAGAAGAGCCCAGGAGGCCCCAAGAGGCCCCAAACAGGCCCCCAACAGGCCCCAAGAGGCCCCCAAAAGACCCCAAGAGCACCCAAAAGACCCCGAAACCCCACCCTCGAGAGCCCAACGAGCATTTCATAGGCTTCAGACCCACAGCCCATGCTCGGTGGCGGGATGGGCCGACGGGCACTAGACACGTGATGCAGTATGTGATGCCTTCTACGTGGTGCAATTAATCAATGCTCAACTTGAAGTTGTCCATTTCACTACTCGCGCAAACATCACACCCACCCAGCCGCAAGTTGATTTGCAAACCCCACGCGGCGGCAATTGCGATGAGTGCTTGGAGCTGGCTGGTGCATCCTTGCGGCCGCGACGCCCGCGCATGCACGCGCGCGCAGCGGCCACCTGCTTTGGCGCGACCGACGCAATTGCGGTGGCGTTGACCGCTTGGCATATCCAAGCGGGCACTTCACTACGGGGCGGCGAGTTGGGCGGGCGCGATATCATGGCCACGTCGACAACGGTAGACGCGGTGATGACAGTAGCGATGTTGGCGACGATGCTGACAGCGACGACGGAACGGCCAGTGACGGCGCGGATGTTGATCACGCCGAAGACGATGACGGCGTCCTTGCGTCGGTGAAATTTGGGAATGAGAATAACTATAATACATGTAAAACGATGATGCTAATAACGGTAATGATAACAAGAAAAATAATAATATGAATACTAGTAATAATAATAACAATAACAATAACAATAAACAAAATACGAATAATAATAAAAACAATAATACGAATGATAATAATAATAACAATAATAATAATAATGATAATAATAATAATGGTTAATAACAAGAATAACAATAATAATAACGCGCACAAAGGCCGCGCAAAAGTGGCCCGCATGGTGTTATCTTACACGGATCGCGCCCCCCCCCCCCCAGCACGTGCGCAAAAACGTGCGAATGATGTCGACCTGCGGCGCGAGAAGCCCGTTTGGCTGAATTCCATGGACATGATGAAAGGGGAAAGCACGTAAAACCAAAAAACTATAGTTTCCTACAGAAAACGCTAGAGCGCGAGCGCACGCCTGGTTGAAAAGTGATGTTGCGAAACCAAGTGGCTTTGCATGTTTGTCGGACACTCGGTTTGGAAATCGCTACGAAATCCGGATTTCGGCATGCGCGCGCGGCGACGCGCGCGCGCACTTCGCATCATATGTCGCAAGGGATTCTCGCGACGGCACGCGCGCAGGGGCGTTAAAACGATTTCGACATGCGCGCGCACGAAACCCGTTTGGTAACATGTTAAAAAATTCTGAACAAGCAATGATTTGTTTAATCATTTGCAAGAGCGCGCACAAGCTAGTATTGAAAACCCGCGTTGCGAAACCCTGTGTTGCTTATATATGTCTTTGGGGAATTCGATATTGAAATCCCTACAAGACCGTGGGATTTAAAAAAAATCCGGCATGCGCGAGCGACGACGCGCGCGCGTGCACTTCGTCTCGTTCGTTTGATTGCAACGGTTCCTTGACGAGTTATAACTTCTGATAAACGACTGCGCGCGCATAATATTTGTTGCAGAGGGTGGCGGGGTGGCCGATACTGGCGTTGCTGGGATGGTACGAGCTCACCTTTAGGATGGACGATGGGGCAGAACCATGTCAATTGCAATACGAACAAGGAAACCGATAACCCAGTGGGGGTCTGTTCTCTTCTTAGAGAAGAGAGTCTACGCGGTGAACACATGTTGCGCAGTGTACACGGGGCAAACGACATGGCGCAGTCTACGCGGTGCAATCCACTTCGACTGTCTTGAAGCTGTCCTCTCCACTGCTCGCGCAAGCATCCCACCCTCCCACCCGCAACCTGGTCGCAAGACATCTTCAGACCACGACGGTGGATACCAAATGGCTCTTGGCGACGACAGCGACGCCGACGACGACAGCGACAACAACGACGACGAAAACGTCGCCGACGACGGCTACGACGACACCGACGACGGCTCCGACGACTTCGACGACGACGACGACGACGACGATGACGACGACAACGACGACGACGACGACGACGACGACGACGGCGGCGACACTGACGACGACAATGACGACGCCGACGACGACGACGACGCCGACGCCGACGACGACGATGACGACGCCGACGACGACGACGGCGACGACGACGCCGACGACGATGACGACGCCGACGACGACGACGGCGACGACGACGCCGACGACGATGACGACGACGACGGCGACGACGACGACGACGACGACGGCGGCGACACCGACGACGACAATGACGACGCCGACGACGACGACGACGCCGACGCCGACGACGACGACGATGACGACGCCGACGACGACGACGACGACGCCGCCGACGACGAGGACAACGACGACGACGACGACGACGCGGACGACGACGACGCCGACGGCGACGACGACGACGACGCCGACGACGACGACGAAGACGACGACGACGTCACTAACGAAGACGACGACGACGAGTGAGGAGGGAGGACGACGACGGCGACAACGACAACGACGAGGAAGGAGGGAGGACGGCGACGACGCGAACGACGAAGAAGGAGGGAGGACGGCGACGCCGACGACGACGACGACGAGAGAGGAGGGAAGACGACGACGACGACGACAACGACGGCGACGAAATAGGCGGGACGACGACGAGACGCCGACGACGGACGACGACGACGACGAGGGAGGAGGAGGAAGGACGACCACGGCGACAACGACGACGGAAACGACCACGACACCAAAGAGGACGACGACGACGAACACGAGGAAAGACAGAGGACGACGTAGGCGACGACGACGACAACAACGACGCGGGAGGAGGGAGGACGGCGACGACGACGACGACGACGCAAGAGCGCGCGCGCACGCTTGTGTTGAAAATCCGTGTTGCGACACCTTGTGTTTTTGTATGTTCTTTGGACACACGATTTTGAAATACTTCCGAAACCAATGGGTTTTGAAGGTTTCCGGCATACGCGCGCGACGACGCGCGCGTCTGCACTACGTCCCACTTTTGCATGGGATTCTCGCGACGGCGCACGCGCAAAGGCGGTCGACAGATTTCGACATGAGCGCGCGCGAAGCCCGTTTGGTAGCATTTTGTGAAAATCTTGAAAACCGACGGTTTTCTTAAGATTTCGCAAGAGCTTTCGCGGAAGTTGTTTTAGCAACTCTGTGTTGCGAAACCCTGTGTTTTTGTATGTTTTGTGGGAACTCGATTGCGAAATCCTTCCCGCACCGAAGGTTTTTGAAGGTTTTCGGCATGCGCGCGCGACGACGCGCGCGTGCGCACTTCGTCCCAGCTTTTGCAAGGGATTCGCGAAAAATATGCTATACTAGAACAAAAAATGGCCTCGCATAGTGTTTTTGCACAAGGGAACCTCAGGGGGGGGAAACCGGCCCAGCTGGGATGATACGATTTCATTTTTAGGATGGACGAGTGTGCAGAATACATTTATATATATACATATATATATGTGAAACTATACTATCCCGGGGGGAAACGTTAAGTCCGGGGGGGGGGTAGAGTCTATTCTTTTTTAGAAAGGAGAATTAACTGCTGCTCGCAATGAAAAATCAACTCCGCTGCTCGCGCAATTATCACATCCACCTTCCCACCCACCCGCAACTCGGCTCGAATAAAACCATGCGGCGACGATTGCGATGAGTGTTTGGCGTTAGCTGGTACGGCCGCGCTAA